TTAGTCAGACGATCCTAGCAAGAGAGTCCATCTATCATACTACGCAGTTCTATGCTCGCTTGTTATGCTGACATGTTTACTCTGCTTGATCCCGTCTGATTTGTATTTAAATACAGATTATAAAAGTCTTTTTTTTTTTTCATAAATCGGGGCTAAATCCCTTAAGATTGATGCTCTTTTTTTTTTTTCCCTCTCCCGCCTCTCCTTCATTGACTTTAAATCTGCTCGTGTCTTTGTTGGGCCTTCGGGCCGTTGGAGGCTGCAGCCGTCCATCAGCATTCTTAACTGATGAAATATGTATATTTTTAATTTTTTTTTTTTTTTTTAATTTTTTTATTTATTTATTTTTACAAGAACATGTTTTAACATTGCATTGCGAGAATGTCGGACAACTATTCCAAAGTTGTTTTATTCTCTGACGCTTGAAGTCAAAGTTGCTCCCTAGTCAACACATAGTTAGCGGGTCAAACGACAGGCTTGGAATCAAATTATCTTTCATTTGTGTTCACCCTCTATAGTAAGACAATCGAGAGGAGACCGAAGTACGATCCACCAGCTTTGTTTCCACGACCTTGGTCCTTTTTCATTATCTTAAGCAACTTGGCTGGTGAGCTGAGGAGCATTGTGTGGCTGCTCATCAATGCAATTTTAAATGCGTATTGAAGAAAAAAAAAAAAACCTTCATACCTTCATAACTGCATCCTCTCATTTGTCTGCCTTCCGCACAGGGCGCTCAAATCAATGAGTTCACACAGAGAAGTGGGAAAGAAATTGATATGGGTTGCGGACCCTCGTCCGCCCTTCCTTAATTGGCGCGGGATTAGTTCGCATTGATTTGGCCTGATTAGCGCGCCTGGCTTGTGTGTCCGCTTCATCAGCGAGCCCACTTCCTCTTCCTTGGCCTGTTTAGCATATAGACCTCATCCCCACGTCCGTCATGCACAGGCCGTGGCCGTGTGTTCGGATGAAATTGCAGACCCGGAGACCTGACACGCATCAGATTTCTTGTTAAAATTACAGTGCCGGCTCCCTACAATACGGCGAGAGGCGAGCTCCGGAAAATTGCCCCCCGGTTATAGAAAATGTTCTGATAGATGGCGGCTATTATTCTGACCGAGTCGGCCAGAGTGATGAGCCGTGGAAAGATGGAGCGAGATTGTCTGCAGGGAGGGAAATATAGTGAGGGCAGCGAGGTACACGGATTAAGCACGAGAGAGGGGGGACAAAAGCGTCTGACCGCGGAATAGAGCGACTCGAAGAAGTAATATTATTGCAAAGAGTGCGTACAAGAGAGGAGAAGGCTGATATCTTTTGAATGCGAGCGCAGATAAAGCCGAGCGCTAACAAGAGTGTCGAGTTGACGCGCTGTTTGCACTGCTAATGCTAGCTCAGGATGGCTAGCGCTGCTGTTGAAGCTGGACACAGCGTTCTCACTGCGACTGTTTCTCACAACTAATACTCTCATAATTGTGTGCCATGATGAATTATTTATGAGAAGTTTGAGAATTGTGCTTGTCCGCGAGGGCAGGACTTTGGTCAGAAACTCCATGGGAGGGATTGGTAAAGTGCGGCTACATTCAAATCTTGCTAGCAGTTTTGAATCAACCTGCTAATTTGCTGTTCATAGTTCCTACCCAAGCCCTGAGTCTTCTTGGGTTTCTACACTCCGTATTTTGCGTTTGCTTAGCAGCTAGCATCGGTTCTCTTTCTCTTCCTGGTACTCATCAGCCTCCTTTAGTTGTAACAATACTTGTCAAAAGTGTATTTATTTGCTGCCATGGAGGTGAGGATTAGTGATTTAGAGGAGCGGCTCGCCACCGCGAAAGGACAGCGTTTAGCCCAGCTAGCTAGCCTGTTGTGGACTCGAGTTAGCTTTGCGCGTAGCATTCCCCAGGTAGTTCTGCAGCAGTCGGTAACATGCGTTCAGATGTGCTACAAGCCATTAGTACATAGTGACAGGATGGTGATGTCATCAAGAAGCGTACTTGCAAATGGTCGGTAGAGTTTAAATCTGTATCATCGGCTAAATGTCTGCCTTTTTCTCACTATTCATAGCCGGGTTCTGTCTCTATCCCTCGCAAAAAGTACCACATTCTACAAAGTTTCTACTAGCGAGCAAAACATTTAAGCTTTAGACAGCTTTGATTCCCCTCGCAGTCTTCCTCACATCTGAACTTCAGTGAGTCACAGATGTCTTGCAGCCCCTCGGCGGACTTCCAGAAGCCGGCGAGTGACAAGAAAGCAGATTGGGGGGGGGCAGTGGGGGGAATGAGCTGCTGGGCGGCACTAAGGGCGAGTGCGAAATAATTAAGAATTGAGCGATTCGGCCACCAGCGCAGAACAGCATCTTTAATTCTTCTCAGTCACATCGGTATTCATATCCATTTCAGGCTTGCTAAGGTGAACGCCGTAACGACTCCCTCACGCTTCTGCCACGTTTGCTCGGCCAATTTTCTTTCCATATCGGATTGTTTTGGCAACATTACATGTGCGTCGAGGGACAGATCCCAAACTGGCAAGGATATTCATGAGGGTTCCATGAGAATGAAGCACCGATTAAAGCCGAGCTCTCACATAACAATTTTTTTTAATTTTGTTTGCGAGAGGCATGATGAGGAAAATTGATTACTGCTCTTGCTGTGTATAAACTCATTTTTGACGATTACCACCGCCCCCCCCAATGTCGTTAAAACATCCCCCCCCCTGCCCCCCCCCCAAAAAAAATTGGCCAAAAAAAACCCCGTTCAGTTAAATCGGACAAAATATTGTAAAACACTCAAATTCTGCCTATAATTCATATCTTGTCAGCTCTGAAGGACCAAAAATAATTTTATTCTTCCGTATATATATTTTAAATTAATTGTCCGATTAATCAGTTATCAACGTTTTTATTTCTGACAAATGTAAGCCTGAAGAAAATCCTTTTTTGTTGGGCTCGAGGATTTTGACCTGGTCCAACTGTGTGTTGTTGACCGCTCGGAACGTGTTGAATTGCGATATCTTTTGGCGTTGAATTAAAGTCCACAAATGAAATGAACAAACCGGACTATGTACAGAGAGAATGAAGAGTGCATTGTCATTTGTATTCAGAAATCCGCGTGTCGCAAGTTGTACTGACTTCTGCGTCATCGCGAAGGTCAGGATCTCAAAACTTGCGGTTCTGTATCATTCTCAAGCAAACATGTTGCGTCATAGGGGGGCCCGGCTCTTACCGCCTGCTGACTCATAGTGAGCAGAGCCAGAGGTCTCGGAGGTTTAAAGCCCCTCCGCAGGCCATCCTCATGTGTCGCGACTTCAAAGTGCACCCCAACTGAATCCATATCGCTGTGCAAAAAAAAAAAAAAAAAAAAAAAAAATCCCTCTTCCGGCCTCCTTGCCGGAGCAGAGGTCAAACCGCCTCATCTTTTATGTATCGTTTTTGCCCATTGATTGTGTCACAGGAGATTTATGAACACAGAGATGGGTATTTCCATATCGCACTATAGCGTATGGAGGCTCATTTTATTGCCCTCTGATTTGGCTCATGTCTCTTTTTTTTCTGTAATCATTAAAAACAAACAAATTTGCTTGAAAAACTAACTAAAATTCAAACAACAAAAGTCAAAACAAAATAAATAGTAACTATGATGAAAAATCCCAAACTGTTACAAGGTTGAGCATCTCAAGCAGGGGTGGACAAACATTTGTGCCCAAGTGTCTCATTTGAGTTAAAAAAAAGAGACAAAAGGTAAATTGATATTCCCCCTAAATCCTCAAAATCTGTTGCGTTCATTGGCAACTCGAAATTTTGGTTGTACGCATATGACCAAAACAATAGATAACTTAGAAGGGATCCATGTGGTACACCTACTGTCAAATTTGAATGGATCCTGTTACTTCAAAGGTAACTGTATGCGATCTACTACTTTAAATAATTTGATCAGCGTAAATAAATCTGACCTGACTCATTGTATTAAATTTGTGTTACTATTTATGCTCAATGGTCTCTTGTTTTTGCCTTCATCCTTAGCGCGTGAATGCACTTGATCCTTATTTTTACAAGCCACATTCGTCCTTGTGCCTGTGCGCGTGAGTGTGTGTGTGGTGCCCAGCCATATCCCACCAGGATGCCATCGTTCAGACCACCATCTGTTTGGTGCCCTCTTATTGAACCTCCTGCCACTTCCTCTTTGTCAGCTTCACGGGGTGACCAGGAACTGCAGCATATTTAATCTGATGAGATAAAGTGGGTTTTTTTTTCTTTTTTTGGTTTTGTTTGTTTTTTTTTTTTCAACAATGCTCATTTGACCAGAATGAAGTTAAATCAAGCATTTTCTTCAGGAAAATAATGACTTGGAGTCCATTTTTTTTTTTTTGTAAAGCCACGTTATGTCCAAATAATTCAGCCAACGTAGGCTAACAATTCTCTCCTCAGAAATCCCAGTGTGTTTATTTTTTTAAGTGTGTATACACATTTGTAAGCAAACTGGAAATGGCCAAACATCCTCAAAGTTAATTATCTTCTATTTGCCCAGACAAGCCGAATGCATTCAACCATGTGAACTGTGTGTGGTTGATTTTGTCAATATTGCAGGTGGAGTTCAGTCATTAGGTTCAGATTGACTCTGCCTCCATACATCTCAAGGGTCTCCTCCTCCTTCCTTTATCCGTTGTCGCCTCATGCCGCCCATGAGTTGTGTGTGTTTGCCAGGCCTGAGAACAGAACAGAACAGAACAGAACCGCCCAGCCCGACACAGCTACTCTTTGCTCGTTATTCTCACGGCCACGTTTTAAGGTCCTCTAATCTCACCACTACGCCCCTTGAAGATGGAGCGTTTCGATTTCCGTTCGTCAGGGATTTGCGGGAGGTTTTTTTTTTTTTTTTTTTTATCCTCTGAATGAGAATTCACCCGCCACCTCCTCGTCAGCGTCGAAGCTGAAGGAAAACACGCGGCCGTCGCGCTTGTTTGGATTGATGCTGACGGCTTCCTCAATGGCTGTCTTTTTCTGGGCTTTGCAGGTGGAGAGATGAGCACATGCGCTGAACAAAGGCGGCAGAATTAAAACAAGAAGATGCCCAAGTTGAGACGCTGAAGCAGGTCAGTTTGCGCCGATCGCTTTGAATGCTAATGCTACTGGTGCACAGTTCAGTCAAGGCCAAAAAACCTTCACCTTGTTGGCCCCCCACGTGCAACTCGCCTTTAAAAATGAGTCACCCGGTGCATCACGCCACCGGCAAGCGCTTCCACTCAAAAGTAGCGGCTCCTCTATGAAGAAAATAATAAATTGGGACTGTAATTGTCTTGCTTTGGGCAGTATTGTGGAAATTTTTGCTGGTCGATACACATGCGTCTGGTGTATTGGCTAGCTAAAAAGTTTTGATGTGGGTGTGTTTTCAATTTGACTTTCTTCCTTTGTTTAACTTTTTAAACAAACCACATTTTCTGCGCTCTGAGGTGCACCTAAAAGCATTCAAATTTCTCAAAAGCCAACAGTGTGCCTTATAATAAATCAAACACACTCCCTGTCTTAAAACTACAGAAAAAAGCAATCAGAATAATCAATAGGTCTAAATATATAGAACCCACAAATCCACTATTCATCAAATTAAATACAATGAAATTCTATGACCTGGTTGACTTCAAAATTGCCCAATTAATGTATAAAGCACATAACAATCTCCTTTGCCAAAATATCCAGAAGCTTTTTGAAATTAGAGATAGTTGTTATAATCTAAGAGGTATTAATCGAACCCATTTCCTGAACGAAACAGGAAAATCTGCCATTTTGGTTTGAAGCTGTCATGTTAGGTTCATTTAGGCAATATTTAGGACATTTGAACGATGTATCCTACACAGATAGGTGACACGAAATGGGATAGAATTTGAGTTTTTGTTAGGGGTGTGGGCGAAGCCAGGAAGAAAAATTCAGTGACTCGCAATAAAATGTTTTTGTTCTTGTTCTGGATTTTGAACAACTTATTGAATGTATTCAAGAAATGCAGTATATATAATGAATATGAGTCATTTGATATAAAAAGTAGAAAGAACAATTATATATATACAAAGCGAAAGGTGTATAAATAGATAAGTACAGTACACATAAGGGTAAAAGTATTTGATGATATGTAGATTTCTTCCTTCTCTTTGGTATTGGAAAATGATCAATACACATTATTGCACAACAAGGGGTAGGACTAGATAAGTTGTATACTTCTTCCTACTCCTTTGAACATATAACTGTGATGATGTTTGTATTACTTACTTTTATTTTTCCTTTCATAATTTTTGTTTGCATTTTGTCATGTTATTGTATGTTTTATATATGTTCAATAAACAATAAACAAACAAACAAACAAACAAACAAACT